AAAACGACCGAAAGATTTGCACGGTCGTAAGCAAGCAAGCAAGTGAACTTAATATAAAGGATTTAAAAAAGACTCAATCGAGTAATTTGCATGCACATGCCATGTACACCACGCAGTACTGTGGTACGTGCTGATACTGGCACGTACATAGCGAGGGGAGCGGTGACAAAGTGGTTAGCACACCGCTCTCCAGCTCTCTGAAGCCGCAGAGATACGAGTTCGATTCCTAGCCACAGCCAGGACAGGTCAAGGTCATTTCCCATTTTCACCGACCCGCACTGACCAGCGAGGTGAAGTATGGTCAATAAAAACCCCCTCGCCTGACACGGCGTGGGGTGAACTTGACCGAGCAGCAGTGCATTGTCGAGGGGCATGGAAATAACATTGCTCAGTACGACGTGCAATTAATCGAAACGATCACATGTCTAAAACAGGGGCGCTCTGCGTCAAGCGTGCACGTGCGTGTAGGTGCGTGTGTGTGTGTGTCACCTCACGAATGCAGAGTATGTCTCGCACGCACAAAAGTAAGCGTGACACTTCTGCGTGCTCTACATTGTTGGGTTAAGTAACGATTCCTCGACAGTCAAGCTACGCAGAGAGAGAGAGAGACTCTGCGTGACTTCACACAGCGTTACATTTCATTGCCGTCTGCTGCATCCACAAGCTGCCGTATGCACGAGTCCCAGCGGCTTGGGATTGTGGGCAACGGAGGAAGAGGAGGAAACGGCACAACGACACGAACAGTCTCACATTTCTCTCTCTCTCTCTGCTGAAGCCATCTCCTCGTCGTGGCCAGCAGCACACCTCGGCACCGATGAGCACGGTTTCGCAACAGAGGATCCTGTGTCGATGGCCACTAATTCCGCAGATTAAAAAACGCACACTTCCTCGCGATATTTTAAGGCAAAAGAGTTGAGGTTGCAATCCAGTGGCAGCAGAGCACGCACCGGAACCTTCACGTGAACACAGTGAACACCCACCAGCAGCCTTCACATGAACACAGTGCACACCCACCGGCACCTTCACCACGCTTCACATTGCAACGCCTCCGCAGACGGCGACCCAGAGTGGGCACGAGCTGCTGATGCAGCAGCAAGGGCGGATGGGTTCCACAACTGATGGGTTCCACAACGGACGGGACTTCCACATTTACGTTTCACAACTGCACGAATCTTACAGTGTGGGCGCGCGTGTGCGAGCGTGACAAAGAGTGGGGGAGCGGTGGTGTAGTGGTTAGCGCTACGCTGCGTTACGAACCTGGCGACCCGAGTTCGATTCACGCTCACGGCCAACACCGGTGGCGATTATCTGAACGGGTTCTGGGCCTCCCCTAGGTCAACTCAGCCTCAAATGAGTACCTGGTGCGGTGTGTAAAAACATCGGCACTGGGGAGACAAAGGCGGTCGGGCGTGGTGCTGGCCACCCACCCCTTCGTGTGCCGTGCCGGCCTTCATAGCTGCTCGCTAACAGCACTTGCCTCAACAGTCTGTTAAGGCTATACGGGGGATCTTTGTCTTGAGCGTGTCAAGAGTGGGGAGCGGTCGTGTAGCGGCTAGCGCGCTGCGATCTTTGTATTGTGGCCAGCGGTGTCGACTTCTATTGGCAAACACCAGGCGCAAGTCTCAGATGTGTGTCTTGGACGTATGTTCAACATGATGGTTTGTTAAACTTCTTTCGCACCGTACGTAGCCAACCGTGCTCATCGGTACTGCGGAGCATCTCATAATCTGGAGACTCGGGTATAAATAAATAAATAGAAGTAGCCCAGGACAGTCTTCATAAAACTATCAGCAATGAACATCACAGGCTTGTTCCAATTGTTTGTCAATGTTCATGTTCTCAGTCTTGTTGTTGTTGAGAATACGTGCCTCTGTGCATGTGTTCAACAATGAGGCACAGTCAAGTGTTGGCCGCATGCATCGTGAAAGATGTGAATCTGTCTCAGGGCAGCCCGTGTGTGGTTTGCGTGGTTTGTGTATTCCGTCTCACAGCGCAGCCGGTGCGGGAGTTCCTATCTGATGCTGAGACACGGAGTGCTTTGTGCTGCGTGTGTCCTGCCGTGAGACCCACGGCCGTGGCTCGTGGGCAATGCGACTCGGGGGTTGTTCGGACTTGTGTTTCCGTAATCGCATAAAGCAGCCAGCAAGTCAAACTGGTTCTTCTCAAATCGAAAATATGGAACGTTTGTCAATATATATTTATCTTTCCGACCGCACCTTTCTGGCCAAAAAAGTGTAATTGTGAAGATGTTCACAACTATTCAGCCCTTGGCTATTTTTATGTAACTTTAGTGCCGGGTTTCACTCGATGTGTCTGCCATCCAACACACGGTCGCTACGGAGCCGAGTTCCATTCCCGCTCGCGGCCAACACCAGTGACGATTATCTGAGCCTCCCCAAGGTGAATGCAACCTCAAATGAGTACCTGGTGCGGTGTGTAAATATCGCCACTAGGGAGACAAAGGCGGCCGGGCGTGGTGCTGGCCACCCACCCCCGGCCTTCGTAGGTGCTCGCTGACAACACTTGCCCCAACAGTCTGTTAAGGTTATACGGGGGATCTTTGTCTTTGAGGGTCTGCATTCGCAAGAAAGCTGAAATTTGGTGCAAGTTTCGTGATGATTTGGACCCCGCGTGTAGATGTGCATAACGAGCACCCGAGCAAGATGCTCGCGATGCGCGTCTGTAAGCTAGGATTAGGAACCATCATAAAAGCACATGTCTGAATGTTAACCTCAACACATTGTACGGGCCGGAATTTGAATTCACGTCTCGTGCTAAACTTTTTTTAAATAACATGCGCTCCTCGTCAGCAGTGCACCGAGTAATTCGCCTGCGTGACGTGTAATTCTAAAGCCGGTGGAGAGTAAACACAGTCGGCTATAAATTGATCCGTTTTACCGGTCAAACCTTACTCCCGTCGGCAAACCCATCATCCCCGCAGGGACTTAACAACGCACAATCAGTCGCTAAGTGGACGTTAAAGACCCCGTGACCGAATTAACAACTCTCTGCCACTGGCAACAAATCCGCAAATCTCTAAACCACCCGCAACGGAACTGCGAGAAGTAGTGCGAGTGAGAGTCCGTCCCCATGTGGCTCGCGCGGAGTCGGCAGCCCCGTGTCACAAGCGGACGCCTCGGAGCCTCCCCCGTGCCCGCAGACTCTGGGCGACGTAGAGGGAATTCAAAACGAGATGGCATCCGTGCACTGGGAAGCAAAGACAGAGATCCCCCGTACAGCCTCAGCAGACTGCTGGGGCAAGTGTTGTCAGCGAGCACCTATGGACGCCGGCACGGCGCACAAGGGGGTCGGTGGCTACCATCACGCCCGGCCGCCTTTGTCTCTCCAGTAACGATGTTTATAAGCTTGCACCCAGGTAGAAATTTGAGGCTGAGTCGACACTGGGAAACGGATGTCAGTCCACCGCTGGATGAAGGCCTCCCCACAAGCCTTGCCAGTCGCAGGCTTTATTTGACCATACTTCACCACGCTGGCCAGGTCAGTGTGGACGGATGGAGGAGGGGAGCAGAGACGTACTATACAACAATAGATGTCGCTCCACTACCCACACCGTAAGCTTGCGATCTCTGTGGCAAGCTCACGTACTGGTCAACCAATCCCAGCCGTATCCAGGCGCACAGCTGCTCAGATTACGAGATCTGACGAGACCAACGCATGCCAGGTGATGTGGTCGTTGTGAAGCAAGCGCGTGCCGAACTCACCATTTAAATTCGCTCCAGATTCGACACACAGTATCTACAAACCCACTGTGCAGTGTGCTCCTGGTGCAGTTAATAATTATTAGATGCAGATTTTAAATTATTTTAAATGAATATAATGACACTTGCTTTTACCCTGAGTCTCATGATTATTATTATTTTTCCCACGAGGATCCTGCCACGTTTCTTGCGCCAGGGGGCGATACAGAATCCCATCGAGGCACCGTGGACGCATGGCGAGGATTTCACCCTCTGCATCTCATCCAGCAGTGGAGCGACGCGAGGCTGCCCATGACCCCGTTGACCCCACGCATAGCCTCGTGGGTCTCGTCTTTGCCGTCTTCAGTCCCGCGGGTCCGAGTCGCTCTCATCGCAGCGTCGTCGCGAGACCCGGGATTTGACATCTCCTACTGGTGACTAACGGAGGGGTGTCAAGTTGATGGGTGGCGCAGGAGTTAGCGCAGCGGGATCAGTGGCGAGTGGCGTCTAAACCCGGACCGGGGTCCAACCCCACTCACCCATCAGTTACCAATCCGCACTGACCAGCGTGGTGAAGTATGGTCGAACAATCCCCATGACCGACACGGCGTGCCGAGTCCGTTATCTCCGGCTGTGTGCCGTTGTAACTGCACACATTGTCGTATCTACAGTGCAATGACGACGGTATGTCACCCACACTCGATATTGAGCGAACACGCTGTAATATGTTAATGATATTCCAAACTTCGCAGTCAAAACACCTCCTGCCCATTCACCTCCCTCCAACTCGCGTCGCGAATGGGCAGCGCGGACCGCAACGCAATTGTGTCCGTGTAACGAGAATGCCGTCAGACCTCACATCACAACCACAGTAATGTGCACGAATCACCAACTATCATCACCCCGCCTCTCTAGGTTCATATTCGTATTTTAATATTCCGTTACGATTAAACTCCAGTCGTGAACTAGCGCTTTGCTTGTAAGCCACCGTTTTATGAACCGCGTCATGGCAATACACATTTCCCGTGCGACGACCACGAAACTTTTTATGAGAAACTTCTTAGCGTCGCCGCGTTATCACCGAGTACAGAGCAACGGCGCAGCCACCGTCTGTCTCCCTTCAAGAAACCACGACTCGTCTCGACTGGATCTCCCTTCTCTGCCGGCCGTGTACGGGGCTGGAGGTGATGACCATGGACCACAGCGAACATTCTCATCGTCATCACCCTCCGTGTTCCCAACGACCCGGCAAAACACAACGACCACAGCAGCAGCAGCGGCATCAGCAGCGCGCACACTCACCCAGCCACTTCTACATTGCTGTCTCCACGTGCGTGACGGTGGCGAGGTTGGAGCCTTGACCACAGGAGAGCGAGTCTCGTGCAAAGTCACTCAGCGGTGTACACGCAAGGCAACTGGCGTTGTGGAGAGAAAGTCCGAGAGAGGGAGGGGGAGAGAGAGAAAGCGGCTGAGCTCTCTGTCCGCCCGCGTGTGCACGGAGTGGTGCCGCACCGCCGCCGCACGCGGCTTTAGAGCGAAGCCGTGAGTGGCACCGCCTGGGGAGTTCCCCCCGCCCGCTCGCCCGCGCACATGGGGCTCCCGCTCCCACCTCTCCCTCCCACCCTCCCACAGAGCCCAATCTCGCTCCCCACCTCTCTCCCCCCACAGAGCCCAGCCCTGCCTCCCTCCCCACCTCGCTCTTTCCACAGAACCCAGCCTCCCTGCCTCCCCCATCTCCCTCCTCGCACAGAGCCCAACCCTCCCTCCCTCTCTCCCCCCCCCCACAGACCCCAGCCCTCCCTCCCCACCTCTCTCCCCCCACAGAGGCCAGCCCTCCCTTCCTCCCCACCTCTCTCCCCCCACAGAGCCCAGCCCTCCCTCCCTCCCCACCTCCCTCCCCACCTCTCTCTACTTCCAGCCGCCTCCCAATTGCCACGACCGCCGGCGAGGCGCCCGTGACCCCACAGAGGTGCAAACAGCGGTCCGGACACCGTAATGTGGTTGAGCAATGCCGTCCGTGCGTACGATGACTTGTGCAGTCTGGGCAGGAGCTCAATGCCACTGTCGAGGTTTTGCAAGCCGCGAGAGGGCTTCAGCAGAGAGAGAGAGTCCGTGTCGAGTCGCTGTTCCTTCGTCGCAGGAGCGTTGACTTCAGTCGTTGTACCGCGCGGTCCGCAGTTGGGGTTGGGTGGCCACAGCCGCACCCTGGCCTGTCTTTCAGATGTCCACGCACGAATGAGAAGCGCGCATCGGCCTGTTGATGCTCCGATGCCCTTGGTGGTTGTTGCCGTTCCAGTGTCTTCGAGGAGGGATGTCCGACGCGAGAAGATTCGATGTCGTGGGTCTAGAATGAGGAGGTTTGTTTATTGATTCTGGACGTCCGCGTTTGTTCCACTCTGTTCGCCGGCAGCGAGCGGGTGGTGAGATTCCGGGGTGGTTACAGCAGCAGCGCCGTGCCATCACAGATGGGGGGGAGATCGGGAGTCGAGCCGCTGGGCGAGGTACATTGTTGATGTGTTGTTTGACGGGAAGATGAATAATCAGGGGCAATAAAGTGTTTAAACTCCCCAGCCGTGTGCGGTGTTTTTGTGTTTGCAGAATGTTCGCCAGGGGATTGGTGTCGGTTTCAGTGACTCGTTTGTGATGCGCACGGCGTTATTAAATTAGCAATAGCCACTGCATCAACTCAACACGATCGTCAATAACACCGTGGTCTTGAAAGGAAAAACTAAAATATAATAGGCGACGTCTCGGGCACCTGAATCTATCATAAAAGCAGCCAGCAAGACAAACTTGTTGATTGCCGAGGAGAATAGGGAACGTTTGTAAATCTATTTATATATACACGTGACCACACCTTTCCGTTCACCATTACTCAAACATAGTGCAAGATGTCACTTCATGCGTCTGCCATCGAACGATAGTTGCCTGTGACGGACAGCACTTGCCCCAACATTCTGTTAAGGCTATACGGGGAGGAGGGGGGGGCTTTGTCTTTGATGTAAATGATTGATGGGCTGAATCTATCAGTTTAACACGACGGTTTTCGCGACCAATATCATCCATAATAGAGTTTTTTGGGGGGTTAGATCGCGTAAATATATAAATGTGTCGTCAAATCCGCCACCACCCGACACAGCCAACTAGTAATGTTTGTCACGTAAACAGAACGTGGCCAATTCGTCACTAGTACAAGCACTAGTGTATAGTGTAGTTTATAGTAGTGTAGTGTATAGTGTAGTGTATAGTAGTGTATAGTATAGTGTATAGTATAGTGTATAGTAGTGTAGTGTATAGTAGTGTAGTGTATAGTGTAGTGTATAGTGTAGTGTACTAGTACAGCACCACCGGTGTGTTGGAGAGCCAAGCCACAACATTTACAATCTGAGTACGACGTTTCGCCAGTAATTACAACCAGCTTCATCAGGCGACAGCCAGATTTGTGGATAAGTCCACCTTGTTTGTTCCTTATATAGAGAGGCGCAGATGTGGTGACCACAACTACTGAATCGATCTCTAAAACTCGCTCTTCATTGGCCGCACCAAATCAACATGATGGGTAATGTCCACGAATTCCCATAGACTATAATAGGGGGGTGGGGCAACATCGAATGGTCAAAGAGAATGCCCCTCCCCCCCATCATAGGTGGGGGTGGAGGTTCACCCCCAGGTCCGGTCGCGGCCACTGCTCAGCGTCGTGAAGGGAAATCCGCGGTGACGTCGTCGCTTCGCTGTAGCCGAGTGGATGACAGAGGCGGCTGCGAGACTTTGACACGCGAGTTCGAAACCCGGCATTCTCATTTAATGTTTGTTTGTTATTTCATCCTCCGTGTGTGTATTGATTTCATATGTCGTGTTGTAAGGGAAAGATAAATACAAATCTTAATGTTTTTATCTATACATTTTCATTAAAAACGTTTGAAAAAGCTATTTTAAACAAGTCGATTATTTGATAACCAGAGCATTGCTGATGCGCACCAAGGCTGCGTGGTGTCGTGGGTAGCTTGGCTGTCTTCGACGCTGGCGACCTGGGTTCAACTTGCACGGTCTTATTGTGCCACAATTATGTGTGTGTGTGTGGCTGTCGGTGCACGTGCCTGGAGGAGTCAGACAATAAAAATGGAGAGACCTACAGGGACAAGGAAAACCAAAAACATTTACAAGCTTTTTTCCCCCCGCAAATGATGCTAAAATATTTGACCAGCTTCTTTTACTTCAATTAAAGCTTCATTATCCTGTATATGAATGCTTGTAAACCGGAGTTTCAGCTTTATAGCTGTAATCCCCTTGGTTGAACAACAAAATACGTAACAATAGAGCAACAACACTTAAAACGTGATGTGAAAGTGGTCAATTACGAACATCCCGGCCACGTGGGATGTCGTTTTGTTGGAAAATAGCATTAGAACTGCAATTTTTTGGGGTCAAAAATCTTTTTAAAAGTAAAATTCAAGCATTAAAGCATAATTTATAGTAATAATGGAGGGCCAGGGCTTAAAATAAATTACAGAACCGAATGCCCGTAGAATAACATGGGGAAGACAGAATTCCCATCGGGTTACATTGGGTAATTATAATGTCCATTGGCCTAACATCGAGAAACAAATGCCAAATAGGTTCCAGTGAGACATCGGAATGCCCATGAGATCACAAAATACAGTGTGGACTGCTGATTACTTTGTCTGCTCGAGTAGAACAGCCCCCCCCTGCAATGGGGTCCCTACCTCGAATAAACAATAATCACAGCACCCGTTTGCCGTGGAGACATAATGTAATACAATAACAATTTACAACCTTTTGTCAATCCAGTGCAGGAATGAAGGCCTCCCCACGCTGCCAAGCATGGGGCTTGTCTGACCATGCTTCCCTGTCGTGGCTATTGAAGGTTTGTGAAGAGGCCGTTAACCAAGACTGGTTCAGATATTTCAGTTTCAGTTTCATTTATTTGGTATAGCCCTGTGAGCCATTCGGCTCTTGAATCGGGTGCAACCGCAACAAACAAAAAACTAAAACATGAACAAGAAAACATATTAAAGTGACTATGCACAAACAGAAAAATCCAGGAAAAAACTGCAAAAATCTTCCAGAAAAAGCACCGTACACCAACGCTCTGTGCAAAAATCCCAGTGGAAGTCAAACAACAACAACAACAACCACAAGACAACTTACATTAAAGTCATTATTCTAACTCCGTACTCCAACAAAAAAACATGTCCAAACCAAAACAACTTTTTGAAATCACCACCACTGGCCCGGGATTGAACTCAGATAACCGAGGTCACAGCGCACCGAGCAAATCACCGTGCCACTGCTCCGCCAGTCCACTCTCTAATAAAATTAGTCCTCTCGAAAGATGTTTTAACATCTTAGATCGTTTTTTTGCAATGCGATCCGAAATGTAACGGTAATACTGAGCACGAGCTGTAACGCGTACATTGTTCATCGCTTTATCCCTCTCTCTTCTATCCTGTTTCCTCCGCACCGGAGATTGCTGTCCCATACGCAGCCCCATTGGGCTTCGTTTTAATGAAGGAAAAATAAACGACTGTAATTGACCCGAGCCTCCATATACACGGCAGAAGAACAAATGCCGCTGGAAAACATTGGCCCGGAAAAGGCTTTGGCTCATGTACCGAAATGTTATTACTCTCTTCTTACATTTTTTTGCCAATTAAACAGACCCTTATCGGTTTGTGCATGGAGCCATTATTTAATTACTTTATACCGTGTATGTATTACAATGGGAAATTGCCAATAAATATTTCCAACATGGGATCGTGGATTCAGCTGCGAAACAGGAACCGTCCGGAACGCGAGGACGACGGCGCCAATGACCCCGACTCGCCGATGACCCCGACTGGCCGATGACCCCGACTCGCCGATGACCCCGACTCGCCGATGACCCCAACTGACCGATGACCCCGACTCGCCGATGACCCCGCGGGGCACCGGGACTCGTTGTGCCACATGCAGACTTTAGAAACGTGCGTTCAGATCGTTTCGATTATTCGGCTGCTCGACATTTCCACGTGATAAGCCACTCTCGTTGAGCTGTCATTTGTGGCCAGGTCGCTTCGGAAAAATAATCTAATAGCTCAGTGGGCTTTACCTGGCAAAATAAAGCATAGTAGAGTTGTATTTTATTGTTGTTCATTTGTTATTTTTCCATTACTTTTGCACTCCTGTTTGTTGTTGTAACGTTCTGACCCGCCCCTACTGGATACCTGTGAAAAAGAGCTTTACAGCTCATCGGATTCCTTCTGCAGTATAAATAGATTCTGAATCAGAGTTTTTTGTGTTTTAAGAAGCGCCCAGTACAAAACCCGAGCGATAAAAAAAAATGGAAGGGGGGAGGCACAGACGAAAGCCCGAGGTGGTCACGGGGCAGGGGAGAGCCAGGAAGGAGGGCTCGCTCGCTACCCTGCTCACGGGAGCACGGATTTGTTTAGGGGAAGGTAAGGCGGGCAAGGCAAACACAAAACGAAGGGGAGAGGCGACACACAGAGTCGTTCTTCACTCGCCGCATTGCACTGTGCTGGGGCTGTTCTTACGGCACGCGCGCAGTGCACACGTGGCAAGGTGCGTTGGGATTGGACGCCTACGTACCCAGTAAACAGGCCCAACGTTGGACCAACGTTGGGCCAACGTTCCTTGCTCACTGGGTAAGACTGCGCGTCTCAGCTCGACTCGTCACCGAACAACTTTCCACGTCCCTCCAACAGCCTCCTCTACCGACGAGGAGCCGGGTGTCGTTGACATCTCCAGCACTTCGCATTTAACCCGCGACTTGCCATCGCGAGAGCCGAAAGAGGCACACTTAAACTTCATGGTTTATACCGCGCAGTTCTTGATAAACGATTGAAATAGCTGGACTTGAAAACACCGTTTAATCATTGGATGGCTGTCTAATTTGTTCTCACTTTAGGGGCTCTAATGAGATAGTAGCAGCAGCAGCTCTTTGATATCCACTTCCGTGGGCCGTTCGTGATTCGTGCACCGCTCTGCGAGCGACCCAAATGGAGGCGACTTCGTATCGTGACTACGTGATGCCGATAGCACAAATTGGGACAGGTCTGGGGTGCAAAATTAAACAAATAGTAAAGAAATAAACAAAACACAATTTATCATTTAAGAAGAATGACGGGTGGCTGCATGATGGGTTATAATCATTATCGATCCACTGCTGAGTGAAACGCTACCAACGGGGAACTTAGCTGGCTCCGTCGACAGCCAAACTTACACCAACAATTTGTTCGAACTAAAAAAAAGGGGTCATTTGTCTTTGTCAGCTGCTGTTTGTCTCTTGTCGTGCAACCTCGACCGAACAAAAAAAACCATGTTCCTTAAAAATAAACACGAGAAGGAAAATCCAGACACTGCGATGATGGGGCATTTGGCTTCGCCCTGCTCAACGCGTCCGGCCCATTGCCCACAGATGTGTGCTCGGCTCGCCGCGGACAAGAGCGCTCCTGTTGAGGTGAACGAACATTTTTCTTGGCTGTCAAGCGAAAGGCTCCCGCCCCAATTGCATGAAGAAGTATCCGCGCGCGTGTGTGTGAGTCTGTGAGAACTGCGTACGCGTTGTTTGTGTGGCAGGCGGGGCAGGTGGCACGGTACAGTCACTGCACTACTGCTGCCAGTGCCCCGAGCTTTAGTTTGGGGCCCAGACACCACTGGAAATTGGAATATGGACCTGGACTCTGGGTATCTCCCGTGTCGAATTGATTTTCGAACGAGTACCCGGTGCGATGATCTGTCAGCATCATTGCTGTGGAGACAAACTCGTGTTTACCAGCCTTAGTAGTTGGTGTTCACTCACAGAAATTGTCTGAATGGTCTCTTGGGGAAAAACACATAGGAATATGTTTTAATATAAATTACTCTGGTGTGTAATATCAATGTGTTACATTTGTTGATTTCGTAAACGCTATTCGGAACTACTGCATGGGATGCTGTCACGGGGTGATGGTTTGTCGCACGGGATTTGAAATCAAGGGGTTGCCGGTTTGATCTCCCCCCAGCCGGCAAATTAAAACAAAGAGTTCACAGTTCTTCAACACGGTGGTGCATGGCTGCGGCCTTGCTCAAAGCGCCTTCTACTTCTTCGCCAATCTCAAGAGTTGACCCTGGCCAACGTTGGGACGATGTCGTGCCCGCTACCTTGCCTGCCGTGTGTGTGTGTGCCTCGCGCCACAGCAGACAACAGCAGCAGAGAGTGTTGCTAACACAAGGCGAATCATTGTGCGTGTAAGCGTGGCTATGTGTGCGTGTGAGTGCGTCGTATAAACGTTGCTTTGTGTGTGTGCAAGGATTCAATGTGAAGGGCACACACACTGGATCACTATGCTGTTCCTACGCCTCTGTTGTGTCAATACTGACGGGATTCATTTTTAAATATTGCAAAATTCACTAGGAAATGAAAATGCAGTTGAATTCCACCACGACCACTCTGGGTATGAGGACCATTCGCTGAAACGCATGTCTTGTCACAGCTAAGCCTGGCACCAAGTCTCGGCGTAGAGGCCGCATTGATGATATGAGTGTCGAGGGAAACATGCCAGCACTGAGATAAACACCGATGATGATCAAAACTTTTGAGAACAAGATGCAGGAGATGGCCAGGCATTGCAGACAAAAATGCGAATCATAGCGACGATCTCAAAATCCAGCTGCACGTTGCATTATTCCACGTCCTCTTAGCTTCGTTTCCCAGCCACAAATCTATTTCTAACAATATTTCCCTTGATAAAAATAAGTAATATTTAAAAAAAACTTTATTAAAAACACGCTTTAATGAAAAGTAACGTACTAGTAATGGAAGAACTGTCCTCACACTCCGCTTTGGAATTCCTTCACATTATCTCTCTTCCAACGTCCTTATCAGAACTTTGCTCAATGTAAAACATGAACACATCTATTGCACCTTCAATAATGCTGCTTGTTGCTGGCTGTCGCTATTTTTGACCTTTGGCCTTTGCTCAGCAACCATGATTAAAAACGACGTGACAAGGTGGCAACAACACGCACGTGATCACATTGCCGATCACGTGACCTCTGAAAACTGCTTGTCAATCAAATGCAGACGAGAATGGGGTTTCCCCTTTAATCTGGCAACAAAACTAGGTGTTGCCAGATAAAAAGGGGAAAAACCTATTCTCATATTTTGGCAAATGCAGACGGTGAGCATACAAACCGCACGCATTCCTGGCGGTGCAGCTGTGAGGTTGCCAAGTGGTAACATGTGGATGTTTTGTTGATCAAGATATTAAAGGCATTTTAACCACAACCATTCTCAATATGAGAACGAATAACTGCATTGAGCGGAAATATTATTGCATTTTTGCATGCGTCACGCACGTGGCTTTCGGAAGAGACACATTGACCCATGCGTTGCCTTCTGGTTTAAACAAATTAACGAATTTATACCATGATACAGTCGTAGTAAGGGGCCGTCCATAAATGACGTCACGCGATTTTGGAAGATTTTTTACCCCCCCCCCCTTCGTCACACGGCGTCACAAAAAGTCAGACCCCCCCTCAAATATGACGTCACAAAGCTCTGCCCCCCCCCCCCCCCCAAAAAAGCATGCTTCAAATCGCTTTAAACTATTGTCAATGTAGTGCGTATTTAATGTGCCGCTGCACTCTACTGTTGTAGGAAAAAACATTTATTAAAAAGTCTATTTAATTAAGTAGAACGTGTTGTCTATATTTATTTAAAGTTGCGCATTTTGATGTGACGTCACATTTCTGAACCCCCCCCTCCTCGTCACACATCGTCACAAATGTCTGACCCCCCCCGCCCCCTAGGTGTGTGACGTCATTTATGAACGGCCCCTAATAGTATTACTAATTGTGAGATTGCAAGGGATGGCAATGGCTTCGGAAGGCCTTCATCCAGTAATGGATAGATCATGGCTGATGATGGTGATGAATGCTGTGACCAAATGCTAATGGGTGGACCCAAATGTTCGGGTGCACATTTTCTCAAGGATCGTCCAAAGTTAAACATTTACTATGCTATACACTTTTCCCTTACTATTAATGATGAAAGCCAAAATAGCAACAACCATATGTGCAGTCTCTTTTGTGTATTTGCTACGGTGGGCAACACATTTACATTTTCCAATTTATTCCAACAGGGACGGATGATTATTGTTGGCAGTTTTACACACACACACACCCTGCGATGAATCCATCACTGCCCGCAAAGTGGCGATGTCACCGCCCGCAGCAGCTTGGCGCACAGAAAGGCCGCGTGTAGACGCAAGAGGACCTCCGGCAGGAGGCTGTGGCAGAGGCCCAGGGAGTTCGGGTGGGCAGCTGAGAATGGCTGCAATTTAAGCCAACCGTGCCCCCAAGCGCACACTTGCTGCGGTCGAGTTGCCCACATCGCTCTGCCCGCTGTTGTGCAAACTGCTCATTCGTCATGAGCAGCGGGGTGAAATTGTTCTTGGAGGGCAGCTGGCACGAGATGGCAGGGGATGGGAGGGTGGCGTTGTGGTCGTCGTTCATGCTGCAGGCCACTGGCACTGCACTGCAGTCTCATAATCACCATCATCACCATCATCAGCAGCAGCCACGGTCACCCCTTTTTATTGCGGGTGATGTCACACGTTCAAGTGCACTCACTGACTCGAGGTACGACAAAAAACACCGATTACCTCAACCCCGACCCTACTTGGAATCGAGCCAGATGAAGATGTTTTGTGAGTGGACCAGAACGGCAGAAACGAGGGAAACGATGGCTGGCTTGTACGGTACAGGCCCTGATCTCGTCACGGAGCATAAACCAATCACCACGCGAACTCCGCTCGTCCTCGCTGGCCATCGAACAAGGGTGCTTACTGCATTGCGTGGCGCTTTCAGATGCGCTTCTGCGGCCGTCTGGAACGCTCTTCCGATATTAGGAAGCAACTTTTAAGTCATTTAGATTGATAACTAATTTCTTGAGAAATTCGTTTTTGTGTTTAGTCCTCCTGCACCTCCGATTAGCACGGTTGGCTGCGTACGGTGCAAAAGAAGTCCAACATGCCTACACGTAGGCCCAACCACCTCAATAAGTGCCACAGCCAAAGCTCAAGGCAACGTGATTTCGTGATCGAATGTTCATTGCGGCATTGGAGCTCGTCTCCCGTTTACAACCCTGAGCCAGTGGTGGAAGTTCCACATTCCTACGATGGGGGCAAGGACATCCACAGGACAACGACCGTTGGCTTCCTCACCAGGTGGTCCTCGTCGTCTCTCACGCGGCGGGGGACGATGGCCCGAGTCAATCCCCGACCGGGATTTGAACTCGCAACCTACCAACTGGGATCCACTCTCCCGCTGAGCCACCCCTTCCCTAAGTCTTTCCATGCCCATGTAAGTGAATGTTAAGCCTGTTCCTGGGTTTCTAATGATTTAGTTTGAATGTGCTGTTTATTGGATTAAACATTGGAATATAGAGGGAATAAACGACATTTATACTTCCTTTCAAACGTTTCCCTCCTCACAAACAGGATAAACATGTACAAATCTTTTAAATGTTGACAAATGCATTCGAGACGCAGTTAAGTTTGAAATGTGCCGAATGTGATGGATTATATCTCACTGCAGATATTTATAATCCGGACGCTACTCTAAAAACAACGCATAAATCACCGCGCGCGGTGCCAGTGGTGGCTGGTAAAGGAAAAATACTATTTGTGTTGGAAAGCGGCGCGTCGTTCAACATATTCGGCGAAATGAAGACTTCTATTTACTACGGAAACCCAGCGCGCGTGTGGGTGCCGTGCTGGGATGTGTGGAATTGAGTTGCTTGCGTTGGGTGCATTCGCTCCTCCGCTTTCAGAGCCCGACGGCGGAGGCGAGAGCTTCTCTCCGAGGTTGATTGGCCAGAGCACCGATCGAGGTCACTTACATCATAAGCACGCTGTTTCGTTATACACTTATTCGCGGGCCTTGTTTATGAGACAGCTTCCGCTCGCAGCCGAGGGAGCCCCACAAAAGGACTTCAAAAATTCACAATAAAACACTCTGCTCGTTTATCGCCACGACAAACAACACGCTTGCCAGCGGCTCAGGTTGTGGCAAAATAAATATATTTTTTTACAAAAGCTGTCCCCGGCGTGAGTTTCAAACAAATCCTTTATTAATAATGCATCGCACTGCGGCTCTCTCAGAAGGCCTCAGCGGGGGAGTGCATGCTGTATAGAAGGTTACATTGCATCAGCTCTGAATTAAACACTGCACTCCACAACAACAACAACACTGCAATGCACCAAGTCAGACATGACGGCGATTTTTGCAGCCTGGGGCTCTCTGAATACGTGGATACATTTGCGTCAGGAAGAGTGTTTCTCTCCAGCGACTCCTGCAAGCCGTGATGTTTGTGGTTGCTTTCAGATGCAATTTTACAGCCTGGAAAGTCAACATTTTGGGAATTTGATTCGCGCCGTTTCTCAAAGATGCCTTTGACGAATTGTGTTTAAACTCACGATCGGCTGCTCGGGGTCACAAGATTGCGAAATATTTTTACACATTCATGTTTTTTTTTATCGGCCGCGTACAGTATACCGCAACGCAGCTACTTTCAACAAGGCACAACAAGAATCAAATGTTTGAGTTTTTTTTTCCATTTCGGTTGCAACTGTTAGAGCAGAGCCACATTCCAGTGTAGATGCCACCGCATTGCCCCATCGCCGCTCGCTCACTAGGATGAGCAACAACTCAGAGGTGACATCACAGACGTGCACCCCAGCTCTGAAAGTCATCCACTTGCCTGTTTATGCTTCACAGAAAAACAGAAAAGTGAAATGCATTTGCGCGTAATCGAGGCACAACGGTGAGGGCTGGAGCACGAAGCTCTTCTGCTGGGCACACTCGGCAGTAGTTCACTTGAATCCCTGTCCCTCTCAGAACCCCTTCACAGCTGATTTTAATCCAAGTTCAATCTCTGGGCTCCAATCCAGGACAGAACCAGGTCTCTTATTTAAAGCCATATTACCATTTATGAATGACTGTACCTCGGAGAGTACCCACAAGCGAAAGCCTGGTCTGGGATTATGGAGCATGAGGAGATTCGTTATCGCGCGTCTCATGAGAGACCGCAGCTGCCACGCACATTTCCCATGTTTTCATCCTTGAAATTAATCTTTAAAAAAACAACATAAAACCTACCACTGCTCCGTTAGTTTCATGTGACTCCTTGTGGTGGTTTAGCAGGCCGCACTTATTGCCGATTCAAGTCGAGTCCTGCAGTGGTTGCTGAAGAGCACTCCAAATGCTCAGCCCTGCCACATGGGCTGAGTGAGATGAATGAGCTTCCTGCCCGCGTGCATTCCATCCAAGGTCGCCATGTCCTCCGCAGGTAGGCTGAAGTCGAACACCTGGAACGGAGAGACGCGGACAAGCAGACGGACAAGCAGATACGCACACGCAAAGTCACGTGCGTATGCACGGCACGCACACGGGGGTTGCCTCCTCTGAATAAAAAAAAATAACCGGGAAGATGGGAGAACTATTATTATGCAACTGACACAAACCGAGATATTCAATGTCCTGGGAAGACTCAAGAGATTTACCGGGACAACTGTCTTGCCAATAACATAGTATCAGAAGACACATTCAGTCCATAATAATGATAAGCTTCTACCATGAGTTTATTAGGGCAACGCCCACTGAGCTAAGAAGCTATTATTTATGATTCAATAGTGACCCTGAATCAGAAGGTGCCATTCAAGGACATGACGCGTCTTCTCTCAACACAGTTCGAGTGCCTACATTTCTCAAGCTATCATAACTGTGCAGTACACACCAATAAAGTTGAACACAAGATCTCACGACAGATCAATTCCTGGGCAGTCTTCATCAGAGGTTTTTAAGATTCCTGGCCAGTGCACTCGGTTCTGGTGGCTAATCGCAGACATTCACAGGCCCCATCTGACTAACCACACCCTCCAGTCGTCTGAACGTGGGAGGTCAATCAAACGGTGCCAATGAAGTTACTTGGTTTGGCCCGATTTTAGTCAGTGCCAGATTATCCTAGTAGCAAAAGTAGCTACATATGCTATGGGCCCCTCACTTTCAAGGGCCGCGCGCTCAATGCTTTCAAGCTATCAATTCCGGTACAGTGATTCTGCACTTGCTCTATTACTATAGTACTATACTGCCTTAAACTTTTATGAACGACTGGGTGTTTAAGGTTAGCGATTTGTCGTATTATCTGGCTGTATAGCAAATGAAAAAATACAATTACCTTACTCTGCAAGTTAAACATTTGTGTTTTAATATTTATGGGGTTTTTTTTTTATTTAGGGCCCCTTTATAACAAGATGTGCTACAGGCCCCGCACTAGCTTAATCCGGCACTGATTTTAGCGTCAGTCCCCACATATTCTTTGGCATTAAGGTGTGGCCAAACCTGTCCACAGCAAGGGCCTCTTGCAGCTACAGAAGTGACGGAGGTGCGCACGTTAAAGTTTGTGGATGACCACCCAAGGTCTTCGAAGGCCCTCGGGAAGGAAAAGTTTCCCAAACCCTTGGGAGCCATAAAACCATGCAGAGGAGCGCGCGTACACACGTGCATTATTATCTCATCACAATCACGGCATACACTGCATTCTACTGGTAGTCAACCAATGTAACGTTTATGCTTTATTAAAACAATCAGGTGCTCACATTCACAGAATTTAACTGCAGTGTTGAATGGCACACGATTCAGGAATACATGTGTGGTCAACACAAGGCATCGCTATGCAATGTCACTTGGAGGATTTTATGACGTTCGTGCCAGATATACTCTCTTAATGCCACTGGATAATTTGCAGCGCAGCAAGTCCTGGGTCATGTGGAGTGAGATATCGACAACAACAACAACTGTGCCACCTTTAGAGTTGAAGATGGTTATCAAATTGTTGGATTTGTGGTTGACACAACTTTATTTTCAACCCTCTGCTCCACGTGACGATGAGTACAGGTCGCACACTTGAAACTTGCACCGAATCAATGGTGACGGAATTATGCACTTCCAGAAGGCAGTGGCTCTGATTGTTTCTGTAAAAAAACCACTTCGTTTAACGTGGAAAGAGAGATATGTGAAGACGTCATTATGTCTGCTTATCTGTTTAGTAACTTATGCAGTAATGCAAATGAATTTAATCTGTTGCACAATGTTCAAAATAGCATGCAAGGAATTAGTAAGCATTTGGCTTGAGCCTCCCTCTTTCAAACACGCGCATCTTAAAAACAACCCTAAGTTTTAACTTTCAGTGGCTATTTTTATATTTTAGCTTCTAGTCCAGGTGTACAGTTGCTTTGAATTCATTACAAGCGTAACGTTCACCAACTTGTCACCGTTCAACATCTCACACCAATTCAAGATGGCTGGGTCGGTCCCGAGGGTGAATAGAAAATCCACGTTTGTTTGTTTGTAAGTCTCGGCTAACACCATTGCTCACGATCTCTTTGGAGCGGCTCTCTGTCGAGTTCGCGTGTGCGGTGGATTAAAATCGGTGTCCAGGGCACTCAGTCGGGGCTGCCGCCGCCCATTGTTAGGCCTCAGGCAGCAGCGAAACGGCCACATTCCTGCGATATTCCGCTGGGACCAATCTCCGCCAAGGACAGCTATTGTTGCCTCTAGCACAAAGGAGCGCTCACGCGACCAATCCTGGATGGATAATGGGTCAATGGGTCGAGTTAACCCCCCCCCCCCTCCCGAATTGGGATTTGAAATCGAGAGCATGCGACTGTGAGCTGAGCAGCCCGGCCGATCAAAATAAAACCACCAGGTTGGAAACGCGCAGTACGAGCACAAAGCGCTCGCTTCTCTGATTTTTAGTGCAACGCAGAGCGCGACTCCTCGCCGCACTGCCAGGTAAGTCGTGCAAACAGCGCGCGGCTGGCTCGCACGGCAAAGTGAGCCACCTGTAGCTGGCTCGCACGGCAAAGTGAGCCACCTATAGCTGGCTCGCACGGCAAAGTGAGCCACGTATGGCTGGCTCACACGGCTGGCTCGCACGGCAAAGTGAGCCACTTACAGCTGGCTCGCACGGCCAAGTGAGCCACCTATGGCTGGCTCACAAGGCTGGCTCGCACGGCAAAGCGAGCCACCTATAGCTGGCTCACACGGCTGGCTCGCACGGCAAAGTGAGCCACTTATAGCTGGCTCGCACGGCCAAGTGAGCCACCTATGGCTGGCTCACACGGCTGGCTCGCACGGCAAAGCGAGCCACCCATGGTAACGCAGCCGTGCGAGGCAACGCGGTGCCAATCACAAAGGGCACACGTTCTTGCGTGCCCACCGTAACGTCCGAAATCGGAATGGTACCCACACATAAAGATTGGTCCCTCTCCCACCACGTCGACCGAGGTCTCTTAGCAACAACAGGGCTTCTATTCCACGGGCTCACCCCCCTCCGCCCACCTTAAACGAGGTACAACGACGCTGACGTCGCCGACGACGTGAACGACGTGAACAAAGCTGTCGAAGGCACCGTGTTAAAGCGCGCTGTGCACACAGCGGCTCTGGACTGCCTCTGCAATGTTTGTGTAGTTGGGTGGGGGGGGCTCGAGTCTGAGGTTGGTGTTTTGTTTTGGGGGGCGCGTCGGTTAGAGAGGAAACGGCTTCACAGGCAGCTGCTCCAGTCCCAGCTGACATGCCTGCCGTCGTGTAAGCCGTTCAGCGCGGCCACGTCGTCATCGGCAAGGTGGAAATCAAATACCTGCGTGTGGAGGGTGGTGAGCGGAAGAGTGAAGTGGGGACAAGGGGGGGGGTAGAGGGTGGGGGTTAGGGGGAGTTTGTGGGAGGGAGAGGGGGAGTGGGAGATGTGGGAATGGCGGGGGGGGGGGGGGGAGTCAGAATCTGAATATTTAATTATCCTGGAAGAATCCGATGAGTTATCAAGCTCGTTTTCACAGATGTCCACGAGGTCAGAACGTGGCAGGTACCGGCACGCACACCCCGCCAGTGCCGCTGCTTTGGAGCTGTCTAGAAGGGCCGTGCGGTCACCGTGCGCCACGTTGTCTGCCCCGAGCAGCGCGTTGAGCTGAGCAGCCCGGCAAGGTAGCCACGTGGTCCCGCTCGCGGCTCGGCCAGTAGGCACGCAGTTGGGAATTCCATTGACAAGCACCGTCCCATCACAACTGTGCCAAGAAATGAATAAGCGTCCCCGTTTAAATATCATTTCCCAAGTGTCTCTTATTCGTGAAGAGGGATTGCACTGGACGATAAGATATGGCAACCCACAGCTTTACGGGTTTCACTCTTCTGGGTCTCATCGCCAGTCAAGAGTTGGGCTGCTTCAACGAATGCTGCTTCTAGTAAATCAGCAATAGCACATGGGCAAAGGAGGAATCGGTTTCATTTGGATAAGGAAAGATGAGTGGAACCGCGTTTATTTATTCTGTGAGGAGATCGAACACATCTCGAAGCCCCCCCCCCCCCCCCCCAAATTGGTTAAAGGCGATTGAAATGAATGAATTTGATGTCGCACGTCACTGCAACATTGAACTGTAACCTCAGCGCGGTCTTATAAAATCCTGAAATGCCACATCGGACCCGTGTCCGATGTGGATGGCCCCTGGGAGTCTCGTTTTGCTTGGAGGCCACGGTGTGGAGCAGAGTGAAGCAAGATCGACGATGCAAGAGAAAGCAAGGACATTTTTTTTATTGAAGGTCCTGAACCAGTGGAGGGAATTCCACTTTCCTATAAAATTACTTTGAACACCCTCTTTCTATGTTATTATTTAACGGTGATTTATCCTTGTGCAATATTTTAGATATTTCCCGTGACATGGTCATTTTTGTTCCGATTTAAATTATCTTCTTTGCTGTACTTTATTTTTATTTGTTTTCCTGTGGTCAGTTCGGTGACCCAGATCACTCCTCTTGCAAATAAGACTCATCCTGGTCGCCAGAGTTCCCACTTGGTCACACCAAAATTATATCCACGCTCAAAAGATACGTATTTATAAAACGCCGTATACATTACAGACGCCATTACACGTCGGTGCTATCTTACAAAGCTTTAGATTTGAAGCTTTTGTGACTACAAGGATTCATATTCTTAGGTTTTTTTCGGTAAAGTCACGTAGGTAAAAAATTTAAATTAATAAAAGTAAAAGAAAACAAAATAAAAATTCACGACGTTTCGGAAGCAACACAAGCCTCCGACAGCTGTCGTGGCTGTGACGGTTCCATGTGAAAACGGAGGCTTGTGTTGCTTCCGAAACGTCGTGAATTTTTATTTTGTTTTATTTTACTTTTATTAATTTAAAAATTTTACCTACGTGACTTTACCAAAAAAACCTAAGAATATGAATATCTTACAAAGCTCTGAACCACCACGTCCCGGCCTACTTCCGAGACTCGTTGCTTGCAACCGCACGTCCCCTCAAGGTCTCTAAGATCTAAGATCTGGGGGTGCAGGTCTCCTCTGCATTCCCGGGCCGAGGCTCCGGTCGATGGTCGACCAGGAGCCGGTCCCCCGCGTGGCTCCCAGACTCTGGAACTCTCTTCCACCAGATCTCTCGGAGTCTCCGGGTCGGTGTAGATTTTGAAAACCGCGTCTTGAAACGCATTCATACACTCCCGTTTATTCAACTGCTCGTAAATTCAGAAAATGTCTTTTAAGCATTGATTACTTTTAGTTTCACGAGTTGTTTTCATGCTGATTGTTTGCCGCTGTGTCTTGTGCCGCACTTTTAGATCCTCGATGAAAGGTGCTTAATTAAATTATTAAGTTCAAATTGTATTATGCTATGATATTCTGTATCATATGCTATTTTTCTAAGTAACCGAAGCAGACTCATGGTGGTGGTAATATTTTTTCAGTCAATCCCAATGTTAGCGAATGCTCTAGCGAGTGAGCTATCTGCCAATCAAAATCAAGCGGTTAAGGTAAAATAATTGCTGATTCCATACGTATCTGCTTCAACAGCTGCTGTGGCTTCCTGTCAAATTCAAAATGTCAAATGCTGAGGTAGGCCTCTGTGCTGTGATGTCATATGGCACCCACGGTTCTTATATGTCAGGGTGCCTCGCCATCAGAGGCTTGTAGGCTGCAAACTAAGCCTACTTATTTTAATTCTAAGTATAAACCCGAACTTGAAAATGTATTTTCTCCCGTTCAGAGACCTTCAATAATGCAGAAAGAGTTGCAATGGTAAGTTGTGTAAAACTGACGCCAATGCAGAACCTCACCATTAGAGTTCATTCCATATCGCTGGGTTACATTTCTGTTGCCAAAGTGGTGGGAAAATGGGGAGTGCAGTGAATCTGGCCACCTGAGTTCAATTCCACCACCACGGTTCACATCAGTGGAGAGTGAAACCTGACCCCATCCTGCACCCTCACTTCACCGACCCGCGCTGACCAGAATGGCGAACTATGGTCAAACACTCCCAAAGACCAACACGATGTGGCTGGGCCTTCATCTGGCAGTGGATTGACAGAGGGCTGTACAATATCCATAATTGTACCCATCGTATCGGTTAGTGGTTTGTATGCTTTTGCCCGACCGAATAGTGTAATACAAAATTTTCTTATTTTTGGAGCGTCTGATACGAGGTTTTTGATGTTCAATTTGACACGATGCAAGCAAGGCCGCACCTCAAGCAGGGAATGAATGAGGCCGAGTGAGGCAGAGTTACGTGAGGAATAGGGAAGGGAGAAGGGAGGGGAGGGAAGTAACTCACGCAAAACGGCACGGGAGCCACAGCCAAGGTGCACCAAAGTGCTTACAAAGCGAAGCCGCGACGAATGCAGAGAAGCCGCGTGGGGGAAAGTGAAGAGGCGACATTCGGAGGCTCTGGAGCACGATCACTGGGCTCAGACGATGAGCCGATAAGGTTTCAAATCCAAGTAAATTTTGTTCAACCAGCTGAGGGAGTCAGGAGACCAGGGTCAGTGTCATCTGTAAGAGCGACCTGGGGCAATCTTCTCCCAGTAGGTGGCGATGACGGCCGCTGTGTATAATCCCGATCGAGTATGTTGCAAGTATGTAATTTTTTTACTTTGGTGAACTTTTACCCTGACAATGGCACACTGCGTGAGCATTACATCAGGGGCATCTTCAATGTCCACTACGGTCACTACGCCCGCAAGTATTAACCGGGGCCAGCCGCTGGTCTCAAACCGCGAGCCTCTGCAAACGAGCGGCGTGGCCGCTCCGCGGTGGAAGGTCGTTCCCACCTGGCAGTTCTCCTTGATCCTCGCCTCCTTTGTCGACTTTGGGATGGTGATCACCCCGTTCTGGAAGACAGGGCATGTCACCAAACGCAGGTACAGTTGGTAAAACATCGCGCGCATGTGACTCTCACCACTCAATCAACACACAACCCCCCGTGTTTCACGCAAGCGTTGTTTGTATGTATGATTAACTTATTTTGCACCGTGCTAATCGGAGGAGTTGTCTTTTAATGAAGTGCCAATGTTGGCCGAAAATGTCCATGCATGATACCTCACCACCACAGGATCCAACCGCTGCATCTCATCGCTGATGACTCTGTTCACATTTAGAATGTGCTTCTCACGTTTCGGGTTTATCTTGTTAAACGAGCCGAGGACTCAAGAGACAGAGGATGGTCTCGTTTGGAGGAGTGCCCCGTGGCATTAGTTGCCAGTAGGCGGCGATGATTGCTGTGTGCAATCCTCTTTGAGGGATTTTAATTTGCTCCATCACAATAATTGCCTTCCTGCCTGCCTGCTAGCAGCCTCTACCTGCCTGTTAGCTGCCTGAATGCCTGCCTATACCGCCATCCGCCAGCCTGCCATCCAATATTAGCTGTTCCCGTGCCAGCCACCCAGCCAGCCAAGCCCGGCCATTTCCCTCGGCTCCCCGTTTGTCAGGACGGCGGGGAGCGGGCGACGCGTCACGACAGCATTGCGTACCTGCAGGCTCCACCGGATGCACACCTGGGCGGGCGTGCGCGCGTGCTTGCGCGCGACGGCCCGGATCGTGGGGTCGCACAGCACCTGCCCCTTGGCCAGGGGGCAGTAGCCCTCGAAGGCGATGCCCCGCGAGCGGCAGAACGACATGAGCTCGCGAGGCTGCTGGTACGGGTGGAACTCCACCTGCTCGCGCCAACGACAAAGGCAAAGATCCCCTCGCGTGGCCGCCTTCAACGGCGGCATGGGGCGGCGGGGAGAGGAGTGTGGGGTGTAGCCAACACCACGCCCGGCCCCCTTTGTCTCCCCCCATTGCCGATGATTAGACGCCACACCGGGTACTGAGTTGAACTCGGAGAGGCGCGGGACCAAGTTCTAAAATCACTCGCCACTGATGTGAACCGTGGCCGGGACTGGAACTCACCGCTGCGCCACCGCTCCACCAACAACCTTGGTTGTTGTAAACCGATTCATGTACTTATTTACGCCTCCGGTAAAACTGCCTAATTGCCGCTAATCCGCACGTGAAGATTACACAGCAGTTGCTTTGATCTCACTTCCCACTGTGCTCCCAGCGCCCGCCACTGCTGTTTGAAGTGGAAATTCGGGTGACTGGGCAACCCTCCCGGGGCCCACTGATCTACGTTTCTCAGATCCGAGATCCTGGGGGTCAAACCAGGACAGCCCACTCGTGATGAAGAGCCAGGGTTTTTGAGTGCGGGGAGTTGATGAACCTAAGCCGAATCGACCAACTACACAAAATAAAACGTTCACTTGTCATTAGGTTTCACGTGGCCTGGTCCAGCATCGAAGGACATACGAACATTCGCTAGCCGAGCAATAATATATCTGGACTGTAGTTACACTGGATGGAACATCTGACACGAGAAATTCAGAAGAAATAAAACGTGAAATAAGACACACTGAAATTGTAGATTAACCGATTAAACTAACACGTAGTTGAAAACATAAAACGGCTTGCAGCATGCGGCTGCATTTTTAAATACATCCAAAATTCCAATTTAATCAAAAGAAGACAGCAGGTGGAAGAGCCAGGTTGTTACGATCGTGATCAACAGCGAGGGTGGTTGTGGGTGCCAAGGTGGCACAGTGGTGACACTCGTGTTTCAGGGCCAAAGGGCCTGGGTTCGACTCTCAACTCGGGCCCCTCCCTGTGCGGAGTGTTGCGCGTGTCATCCCCCCGTTCTCATCCATGGGCTTCCTCTGGGTTCTCCATTCCCCTCCCTTAGCCAAAACAAGACATACAACGTCGCTGCTATCTGTCGGGCAAAGGTTTCAGTGCTAAAAATGTACCTGAAAATGACTCAGTTGGGATCACACGCAGCCAAATTGTGGGGTGGCCAATAGCAGCGTCCTGACAGAGGTGAACCGTGTAAACATATACAGTATATGTGTTTCAAGAGTTTTGTATCTATAAAGGTTTTAATTATTTCTCATTATTTGCAGTTTATGTTTTGCTTCATTGAATACTTTCATGCTGCCTAATTATAGGTTTTTTTTTTTCTAATTTGTTTATGAATTTACTTTTAAATCGGTAATATGCACTGAGATTAATATAGTTTTCAAGATAGATGCCATTATTGTTAAATCGGAAAATGTTTCACTTTGTAGACTGACAATCGACGAGCAAGTTGTGTTTCAATGTCAAGATTGAGTCAGGATTCCTGTACAGTGACCGACTCTGTTCAGCAGGACGTAAGCGGGTCTCTAATGATCACGCGACATCAGATGGAGACCTCATTCAGCGTGGGCTCGCGAATGGATGTGCGAGGGCGTGGGCACGCACCGGGGCTGTGTGCGTGTGGGTCAATAAGCCCCTTTTCATCGCCACTGTAACGGGCAGCACCGGGAGGGTCACGGGGCTCTGGCCAGGAACCTCCACGTCCCAGCGACGGCAATTTTATAACTTTTAATGTCTCCGCTGGAATGCGACGAGTTGAAGCCGCACTCCGCTCGGCCAGGCGCTTTCAAAGCGCGCCGTTAGAAGTCGCCGCCGCCACCGCCGCACTTTCATTTGATCAGACACTGGGCGGCTTTCTGCGTCGCTGCCTGTGCATTGTGAGGGCACTTCCAGGAGTGTTGTCATCGCGGTAGCGCGCATTCCTCTGCCCCGAAGAGCCGTCAGGCGCATTCTCAAACAACGGCTTTGTGCCGGCCCCCCACTTCCGTTCCACTGACCCCCTCCCCGCCCCCCCAGGGTTCAAACTCTGGCTGTTGATGCTAAAATTGTCAACTGATGATAATTGGTTCTTTACCCTTCTATCTGGCAACAAAACTGACACCTTTTTTTTTTGTTGCCAGATAGAAGGGTAAAGAACCAATTATCATATTTTTACTGGCAAATGAGGTCCCCATAGTGTTGTTAACTGATGTTTAGGCCCACTGAGGCTGCCTCGGACTGGAACGAGTACCCAGTTACGAGCTCCCCCAGGTGGAGCCGGCCTCAGCGATGCAACGTCTTCTCACGCCACTGCTGCTGCTGCTGCTGGAAGGGTGCTCCCTGAGGTCATCATCAAAGCCTGCGTTGGGTACAGCCCAGAACAGGTAGCCTGGGTACACATCCACAAGGTGAGAGCTGTTGGTTTTTTGGGTTACATTTTCCTTCAAAGGGATGCAAAAAAAAGAATCCCGTAAAGCACCGAGTTAGTAATGTCCCGTGCGACCAGGGGAGACGTCACCGCTTCACGCCGCGCGGAAGCGAGAATCCCTCTCATCCCGGAGGTCGCAGCCGCGCCAAAGCCCGCACGCGTCACCCCAACTTGAGACGGCCAAAACAAAGAGGTCGGTATAAAATAAAAACTAATTTTCTGTTTTTTTTAAGCTCAGCTGCAGAGTCATAAAAGAAGATACATTGCTGTGTCTTGTTACATGTAGATATGTATTTAATATAGCGCACAGCCGCGTGTACTGTACACATTGATAGCTTCCCCCCCACGATGTAGCCTACGTCGACAAGTTGGGAAACTACGAAGGCTTTCCATGAGAACTCGGTCGACCTTGGAAAAGGCCCAGGACTGGTGCAGATGCTCGACCATTGATGTTGGCCGTAAGCGGGAATCTAATCTTTGCGGCTCAGTGCGCTAACCACGACAACACTGCACCACCCATAGGCACACCACACACACACCAGCACAACGTTCTCCCTCTTAGCCAGGACGAGACTGTTGTAAGAAGTCCTGTTCAGGCGTTAATAAGTCCACATATACACACACACACACCTGTATACGCACCCACAAACAAAGATGCCCCATTTAGCCTTCTAAATTCCACACGGAATACACACACACACACACATATGAGACTGACAGAGACAGAGAGACACTCGCACACGAGATCAGTCAAAGGTAGCTTTTCTTCTCAACTCGTGAAAAAAAAAAATTGGCCAAGTTTATTTTTGTTGCACAGAACCGTGGCAGGTTCCCAGAATTCCGAGTTCGCCTCGCTAGAGCGGGCACACACGCGCGCGGTCTGTTCATCCCACAGCGTAAACGAACGAATGTGCAATAATTGAAAGACAAAAATAACACACGGCTGTTAAAAAAAACACATGGATCGGAGGCAACAAAAACCCACAAATTACAGACGTCAAATCGACCGCTAAGAAACGCACGCGGGCTCGAACGGGACGCAACGTGGGGGGAGTGAGGGAGGGGCGAGGGACGCTGGGCGAGGCTGGTGACAGAACGGCAGCCGAAGGCGGCCACGCCTGACGGCTCTGAGCACACAGGTCAGCTCGTCTGCGGTGGTGATGATGCTTTTTTTTTTACGATCAGTGGAAACAAGAAGATGCTCGGTGTAGTCGGCATTTTGCTTCGTTCATCATTTCGTATTTTTTTTTAAACTTTGCTTTATGTAAACCCCCACCTCTCGCTCACTCTCTCGCTCACTCGCTCACTCTTTTTTGTTAACGGATGATGATGGGAGATTTCCATCGTGATGGCTTGTTACACGAGACTCCCCGCGCGGCGTGCCCACGTCCAGCCACCGGAACGGAGCTGGGTAAAATAATTACGATGAGAACCCTTGTGTGCGCTGGTGGTGCACGTACACTAAATACTAAGATCCCCCGGATAGCCTTAACAGACTTGTTGGGGCAAGTGCTGTTAGCACGCACCCATGAAGGCTGGTAGGGCACACGAGGGGGTGGGTGGCCAGCACCACGCACGGCCACCTTTGTCTCCCCAGTGGTGATGTTTACACACCGCTACACCAGCTACTAATTTGAGGCTAAGTCGACCTAGGGGAGGCCCGGGACCGGTTCAGACAATCGTCACTGGTGTTGACCTTGAGCGGGAACCGCTACACTACCCCTCCCCAAACGCGCACGCACACACACTGTCACACACACACACTGTTACACACAACAACCGCCATTCGCCACTAAGTGGCAGTGACGTCACCACGACGCTTGTGCCAGGCCATGTGCACCTTGAGGCCACGTGAAGTGTCGAACGCCCGCTGGCAGTAGGTCACGGGGCAGACCCAGGTGCCACGGGTCGACTGACTGAGATGACCGAGATGACTGGCTGATGCACCACCTGTGCCTCCTACTGTGCCAACTTTCTGTGCTTTATCCACCCGGCGCTCCGCTCGTTGTTGTGAGCGTCGCTCCTCCGCCCTCCGTTGTTGTTGGAGGGCGACTGCCTCCAACTGCCCAGCAGCGTCCTTCACGAGCCTCCTCCACTGAGGCCGATCTTGACACCGCTGGTACCGGTCATCGGCAAGTCCACTCAGCTCCACGTCCTCCTGTACCACATCACTCCATCTCTTCTCTAGCCCGTGCCGCGCCCGTTTAGCCCCCTCGATCCGGCCGAACAAAAGCTGTTTAGGCATGCGGTGGCTGGGCATGCGGGCTACATGACCCAGCCAATGCAGCCTTGCCTGCCGGAGGAGCTCACCGATGGGACTTTGCACAGATCTTTCAAGGATTTGTGAGCTCCTCACACAATCCAGCCTGGTTAAACCCAGGATTAATCGTAGGCAGGCCAGCCTAAATAAACATTCGAAACTACGAATGTTACACACACACACTGTCACACACACACTGTTACACACACGCACACTGTTACACACACACTGTCACACACACACTGTTACACACACGCACACTGTCACACACACGCACACTGTCACACACACGCACTGTCACACACACACACTGTTAC